TTCAGCTCAAGGCGAGCGCTCTACCACTTGAGCTACAGCACCACTTCCGGTTTTCTGGTGGTTTATTGGAGATAGGAGTCTCACGGTCTTTCTTGCCCGGGCTGGCTTTGAACCGTGATCCTCAGATCTCAGCCTCCTGAGTAGCTAGGATTACAGGCGTGAGCCACCAGGGCCTGGCTTAGCACACTTACTTGTCTTGGGAAACTGTTGTTGTTTTCTAGAAATATCTTCAGAGCCAGGTGAGGATGATGAGCCTACAGAAGGAAGCTTCGAGGGCCACCAAGCAGCAGTGAATGCAATACAGATATTTGGAAACTTACTGTACACCTGTTCTGCGGATACAACCGTCCGGGTTTATAGTTTGGTGGTAAGAGAATGTAACTCTTTGACAAGTGGTTTTGGTGGCAGGTTAAGAAAATCCTGCCAGCAAGTCCGTGGCTGTCTGAGGGGATGACTCCAGGTGCAGTTGAGCCAGCAGCTCCCAGGGTCGGCCTGGGCTGAATCTCTCGCTCTCTCTCACTGGGTCTTCTCAGCCTCACCTTTCCTGCAAAATGCACCTGTCTGGTGCCTCTCTCTCCACCAGAAAAGGTCCTGTGCTTTTGTCTCTGTGCCGTGGCCTGTGGCAAAGGTGGATGGGATTGAACCAGTAGAGCAGGTCAGACAGAGGGTTGGGGAATTGTTAGAGGAAGCGTTTTCCCCTGTGCGAGTTCTTAAGGAGAGCAGAGCTTCTCTATAGCCGCACACTTGGGTCAGCCCATGCTCATTACTTTTGCAAGAGTGAACCTTTTTTTTTTGTTGTTGTTGTTAATTTACTTCATTGTTATTATAGAGGTGATGTACAGAGGGATTACAATTGCATGAGTCAGGTAATGAGCACAGCTCCTTTCATACCGTGTCTTCTGTTCCCTCGCTCTCTCCCAGTCCCTCCCTCCCATCTCCACCCATGAGTTGTATAGTTCACTTTCATCCATGTCCAGGGAGCTCCACTGCTGCACTTTTCCATCCTTTTTTCCTCCCAACTCTTCTAAAGTTGTACACTTGAATGCACCATACATAGGAAAAGAAGCCAGAATCATCAAAAAAATAGACTATACACTAAAAAATAAGAGAGGTCTCTTGTTTCCATATCTTATAGTTTGTTTCAACATGTTTATATAAATATGATGAGGCATTCAGACATTGTACCTTTGTGTTCAAAAGAGTAATCCTGCCGGGCGCTGGTGGCTCACGCCTGTAATCCTAGCTACTCAGGAGGCTGAGATCTGAGGGTCACTGGTCAAAGCCAGCCCAGGCAGGAAAGGCCGTGAGATTCTTATCTCCAATAAACCACTCAAAAACCAGAAGTGGTGCTGTGGCTCAAGCGGTAGAGCGCTTGCCTTGAGCTGAAGAGCTGAGGGACAGCACCCAAGCCCAGAGTTCAAGCCCCACGACCGACCAAAAAATCCAAAAACAACAAAAAAAGAGTGAGCCTTTAAGTTTTGAATTTGAAATATATCAGAACTAATTCTGCGGCTGGGAACGTGGCTTAGTGGTAGAGTGCTTGCCTACCCTGCATGAATCCCTGGATTTGAGTCCTCAGAACCACATAGACAACAAAACAAAAAAACTAATTCTGTTCAACAATGGTAGCCAAGAAACTTTAGGATCACTGTTCTTTGTTTTTGTTTTTAATATCGTGGCACATTCTCAACTTTCCTGAGTAATTAGCTACAGTTTGGATTTGCAAGGTTCTTGATCCATTTATTAAGAGAATCTTGCCCCTGACATCGACTAAAATTCTCCCATGTTAGAGTGAATTGCCCTGAGTGTTCTTTGTGGGTTCTTTTTTGGTTTTGGTTTTTTGTTTTTTTTTTTCGGTCCAGTCATGGGGCCTGAACTCTGGGTCTGGACGCTGTCCCTCAGCCCTTCAACTCAAGGCTAGCTAGCAGTCTATCACTTGAGCCACAGCACCACTTCCTCTTTATTTTTAATGACAGCTGCAGGTGTCTTGTTTCCTAAACTTTGGACGATTAAAGATGTTAGCCCATGTTGTGTGTGTGGTCTACTGTAGGCACCAAGAAAAGGCAGCCACGGCCTGAAAGCTTTAGCATCTTTTCCCTGAGAACAGCCTGTATCCCACGGTAACGGTCTGCCTTGTGCTTGGCTTTAGAGTCGGAAATGTACTGGTGTCTTTGAGGGCCATACTTCCAAAGTGAACTGCCTGCTGGTCACCCAGACCTCTGGGAAGAACGCAGCCCTTTACACCGGTTCCAGTGACCACACCATTCGCTGTTATAATGCTAAGGTGGGTGTGTCCTGAGAAATGAAGTCACTACACTGAACCCTGGCTACTTACTGTGAGGAGCATGCAGCGCCTAGCTGCTTCACTCTACCCATTTTGCTTTGTTCTTTCTGTTTCTGAACCTAGGTTAACACACTGATAACTGTGTGCTATGAGACTTAGACTTCAAGTACATTTTCTGTATTTACTCCCATTTCTCACTATCCGTAGTGGAGCTGCAGGCTGGAGACTGGCCTAACTACTCTGGAGCTTGAGATCTGAGGATTGAGGTTCAAAGCCAGCCTGTGCAGAACAATCCATGAGATGCTTACCTCTAATAAATCAGCGAAAAACTGGAAGTGGACGTAGCACAAGGGGAAAAAATACATACAACTATAATCACCATTTCCCCTTTTAAATACTAAATACAGCCTCAGCTTTAATTTTTGTTCATTTAACTATAGGACTAAGACTCAACTGTACGTCCCTCTGAAGAATTTTTACATTCTTAGAAACAAATGTATCATTATTAAAATTTGTGGGATTGTTTTCATTATTACCTAGGGCCTTGGGTGGGAGGGGTGGTCTTTGGCCTCATAGTTCAAAGAGGAAAAAGATGCAGAATAGTCCTCTACAAAATCAAGCTGCCATGTTTTCTTCCTTCTTGGTGCAGAACTTGTTTTCACACCTCATTTGCTGCTGCCCTCTGCTTCTTAGATGTGCTTTTTTTTTTCTTTTCTTTTCTTTCCAGACCCGAGAGTGTATGGAACACTTACAGCTGGAAGACCGAGTTCTCTGCCTTCATAGTAGGTGGCGAGTCCTCTACGCAGGCCTTGCGAACGGCACGGTGGTGACCTTCAACATCAAGGTTAGTGTCCAGGGGAGAGAAGGCTGAATTCCCTTGATTTGAAAGAATGAGCAGGGGGTGGGGAGGGGGAGAGAGCTATGCAACCTGCATGGCTGTTGTGTGGCATGAGGAGACAACCCAGCTAGCTGCTACTCACAACCTCTTCTCTTCTGATGTAACTGAAGCAAACTTTCCATTCTGTCTGCTCAGACTCATGTGAGCCAGGACCACAGTGCAACTAATACACTAGTGGAAGCAAGCCTGAAGATTTGGGGCCAAGTCATGAGTCGTAGGTTAGACCAGTCTGATTCATATTAAGCACGACACTATGAGAAATGATTCTGAATTCCATGGTGTATAGCAGCAGTGTCATTTGTATATCCTGAGGATGGCCTGTTTTGTAGAGGTTTTCTTTAACACCCGTGTGGCCTCATTCTTTACTAAGGCAAAAGTAACTTTCTTTATTGGTAAATAAATTGACATCTGTGCTCTGCCCCAGGGTTAGATTAGGAAGTCTTTGAGGGTCTTACTGTGTTTTGGTCAGGTAATTGGAATTATTGTGGGCTTTACAGTACAAGATATGGGATTCGCTTTATTGTTCTAGATAGTCACTTGGGCTGAAGGGCCTGGGAAAGGTTGGTATCTGTAGAGGCAGGAAGATCATTTATGAGGCTTTGCCACAGAAGTGGATGTGGAAGGATGAAGAAGTGGAAACGGGTGGAAGATGTAAGGTGGAATTGATGGTTTTTATTACTGATTAGTAGCACCATATCCTCTGGTCATTTCCTAGCATGTGTTGAGTGTCTTCCCTATTTTACATGTAGCTGGAACTTATATAAGGGATGCTCTGAAGTGCATTGTGGTTTTTGCTCGTTAGAAACATAAGAGCAGATTTGAATACTCTGACATACTCTAAACAGATGCCAAAGTTACTTGAGAATATGAATACATCACAGAAGGGTAATTAGTGAAGGTATTATAAAATCTCCGTAATGTTGTTATAAGAGATAACACAGAACAAGAGCATCAGAGTAACAAAAGTGTGCAGTTTGAGATGTAATAAAATTGTTTAGAGCCAGGTGCTAGTGACTCACTGCTGTAACTCTAGCTACTCAGAAGGCTGAGATCTGAGGATCACAGTTGAAAGCCAGCCCAAGCAGTAAAGTCTGTGAGACTCTTATCTCCAATTAATCACCAGAAAACTGGAAGTGGGGCTGTGGCTCGAAGTGGTAGGGCACTAGCCTTGTGTAAAGGAGTGTAGGGACAGCACCTAGGCCCTGAGTTCAAGCCTCATGACTGACAAAAATAGTTTAATAGGCTGGGAAGGTGGCTCAGTGGTAGAGTGCTTGCCTTGCATGCATGAGGCCCTGGGTTCGATTCCTCAGTACCACATAAGCAAAAAA